TAGGCAGGAACAGGACAGTCTCCAGGCCACCACAGAATATTCAAGTTGGGGGCAGCAGTGGCTGTTCTGCTGCCCTGCCACTGGGCATGCAAACTAGCACCTGGCTTGCGTCTTAGCCCTGATCATGGTAGCCCATACCTTGGTTGCAACTCTGCAACCTCAAAGGTGACATGCCTGCAATAGAGCTGCTCTTTGACTCCAAACCAGTTCCCTTTGGGATGCCCTCATTCTGTAAGAGGTATTGCTATTTCCATAGTCACTGAGGTTCAGAATTAAGAAGTCACCCTGGATTCCTTATTATTTCTGTTCCTTCACGTCCGGCTAATTACAGGCTAAATCAGTTTCCCCATGATGACATCTGTCATATCTGCTCCTTGCATCCCATCCCCTTGCTGCCTTTCACCTGTAGGTCCTTATCATTAGCCTTGACCACCACAAGCAATCTCGTAACTCTTCTTCTTGCCTCCATCTCCCCTCACTGCAATCCCACATCAATCTTCTTAAAACACTTTTCTGCAACTATCAACTACTTGTTTAAAAATATTCTTGGGGATAAGGATATTCATCCTCCACAGAATTGAGTCTTAACTCCTTAGCCAAGCTGTCAGATCCTTTCCATACTCCATTGACTTTCAACCTTATTTTCTGCTTTTCCCCTACAAAACTTTCTTTAGCTCTTTGCTCTGTACACTAGTCCTTGAAAATGCCTCAACCTCTTAATCTTTTTCTGTTTATCTAGCCCCTACTTTTTCTTCAAAGGTCAGTTAAAGTCCTAACTCAAGTTCCAACAGAGTCTACTCAAAATTCTCCTTTTTCTGACACTTCTTGTAGCAAATGATTTCCTCCACATTTACTCTCTATTGTAATTTTTCATTCATTCATTCAACAAAATGCACTGACCATTGTTCATATGCCAAACCTTGTCCTGGACACAAGGTATACAAAGATGGATAAGATACAATTCCTGATCTTGAGGAGTTCATGATCTTGTTCAGTTTGAACAAGTAGAATATAAAACATTTGAGGGCAGAAACTCTTATTCCTCTTTATATTTCCAGTAGTAATCAATATCTTTTATAGAATACAAATATAACATTTGTATTATGTTTACATATTATATATAAATATAAATCTTATATTTATATTATATAAAAATATAATATTGCTGTTAATGGTTATGATGAAAGACAAATAGAGTTTCTTGCTCTAATAATAATGGAATGAGCTAGAGACTAGCAAAATTTTACTCAATATATTTTATGTTATTTTACTAGAAATTCAAATAAGAAAGCTACCATCCTTCCTTCTGTTGAGTTTCTAGTATTGTAGACAGTCTTTTTACTCATAAAGCTATAATTATTCTAAAAATCCTTAAGGCTATTATAATTCAGATTGTTTTCTGGGATTGTATAAGGGCGTAAACTAATCCTTTTGGATCATTTGCAGAGTTAATTTAACCTTCATTAAGAAATTCTATAGTAACACACTTATATACATGCACCATATTCTCTCATAAACACAGACATATATATATATATATACTATAAGAAATCTCAGAAACTTCAAGTTTTCAATGATAAGCAAAAGTCAAAAGCTGTTAATTGTTATCTTATCAGAATGTGGTGGAAGAATTCATTGCTATACTATATATGTATCACAAAAATTGTACTGAAACCTCATTAGTGCAGTTGATAGACTTGGTATAAAGCTCCAGAAGGATTCAGCCTGCATGTGGAAGCTTTAAGTTTCTTGAAAGAAGGGATTACATTTTTTATTTCTCTTATATTTGCTGATATACTAAGCATAGCAGTATACATAGGATCTACTCCAGAAAGATTTGACAAGTTTTAGTTGCACAAATGAATACTTTTATGACCAGAATAAAAAAAAAAAATGCATGACGTGAACATATAAGTAACCAATAATTAACTGTTATATATCAAATAAGAAATGCAGAATGGTTTTAATTATCTTAATGGATTGGTGAAAAAAGTTTTTTCAGGAGCTAGGTTTAAAGGAGTAAAGAGACCCAGCTGTCCCCAGCAGTGGAGACAGAGGGCATTCTCACAGAAGGGATAATAACAGTTAACTTTTATCAAGTGCTTACTACCATTCCAGGTAGATTATCTCATATTATCTCCTTTGATCCTTAAAACAACTCTATGATATAAGCAACATTAGAACCCCCATTTTGCAGATGAGGAAACTGAAATATAGCAATGTTTACAAATATGTTTGTTAGTGAAAGAGCCTAGATTCAAGACCCAGGAACTGTGACTCCAGAGCTTTGTATGCTTAAGGACTATGGTATTATTGCTCCTGTGGAGATATAAATAATGACTCTCAAAGGTCAAAAATAAAAGAGAAAAAAATGTGAGATAGGTAAGTAGAAGGAGAGAGAAAAGGTGGTGGAGGGCGGCGGGGGAGAGAGAAAGTTAAGGAGAGACTGGGAGGTGTAAATTGATTTGTTTTCTGGGTGGAGCTTAGAAAATGAATGCAGAGAGTAGAAGGTGACAAGTGATCTCATTTTTAATAAAAGAGATATAACTTGGAAACTTTCTACATTGAGATAAAAATAACATTTCATTCTCCTCAGGTAAGTACACCATCGTGGAAACTTTTGTGACATTATTTGAAATGTACTTGTAAAATTGTGTTGGTGGGGGAGAGGAGATGAAATTGAATGGAAAATAATAAGTGGTTCAAGATAGTTGTAATGACCATACTACAGGACAGTATGGGAATTTTCAAAGGGTCTCCTCCTCCTGACCCCACTGGTACTTTACTCTCTATCCTCTGGAAAAATCTGAGAAAAATAATGTAAGAGACAGGCTCATCATGAGCACATACAGTTGTCATCAGGCCGTTTTGTTTCCTCAAAGGATGCTCATTCCGTGGTGGCCTCTGAGAAGCAAGAGGTGCCACTATTCAGTACTCCTTCCAGCAATCCCAGGACCAAATTACCAGTGCCAAACAGAAGGCTGGCATGTTTTACCTGACTCTTGACTCACTTCTGCATACACTGGAGTGGCAGGTGGAGGTCAGAGACAACAGAAGAAAGACAGGAAAATTATGACCTGGGAGGTGGTTTGTGAGCTGGGCTGAGGCTGAGAGCCCTGGCTTCCGAAGCAAAGACAAAGGCAATGGCAAAAACAAACAAGGAAAAAACTAAAACTAAAACATGTGGGAGAATTTGAGAGCAATGGGGCACCAGGAGACTAGGCATCTGTACCAAATAGAAACCAGGTGCAACCTCAAAATATGTGCCTGCTTTACGTGTTCACATTTACACACTATACCCATACCTATACTTTATTGTGTCATACTCTACCACCACCTTTGAGCACCTAGAGTGGAAGGTAGGAATGATACTCCTTTCGCAGAGAGGAGGGCTTTTGATAATAACAAAACCAAAGTGGCTCTTGAATCAAGCTGTAGACCCTTCTGATTCAAGGATGATTGCATTTATATAAATTTGTGTGAGACATTAACACTGTTGGAAGGAAATGAATCAGAAAAACTTTTCAAGTTACTTTAAGCCCTGTGAGATCCTATGCTGGATTGTGCAGCAAATCTTAAAGTACACATCAAAATGGCCCTGAACTAAATGTTATGGCAAGGCAAGGTTTCAAGGTTTAGGAGAATGTGTGCCTGTGTCCTATGGATTTACAAAAACTTGTCCTAGAAAATAATTGACAAGGAAGATCAGTGAAGTGAACATAATATCACATCACAAATACATTCTCAAATGATAATTTTGGAAAAAATATAGAAAAAAATTCATACAATTGTTTGGTTACCTCTCTGGTTATCAATATTATCTTAATCCATTTTTAACTTTCATAATTAAAAAGAGTACTAATATATTTTTCTTTTAGTAGCCTTAGCCTTGGATAAAAATAGGAATGTTAAAGGTATATGTACAGATTTTGTATATGTCCTGGAAGGGAGGTTTGTTTGCTGGCCAGCTTAATTTTTGACAAAGAAAAATGGGCTGCTCTTGCTTCTTGCACAAAGATGCACTGTTTCCAGAGCAAACCAAAAAAAAAAAAAAGAATTTGTATAAACAAAAAAGTAGAAAAAATTTAAGATAATATACAACATGATGAGTTAGTGTAAACTTTCTATGGACCGATAAAATGTGTAGCTTATTAGAATTAAAAATATAACTTTGCAATCAGAACTTAAAATACTAATATCTGAGAACTTTCACAGCAAACAAGACACTCTGAATTTCATTTTTAGTACCTCATCATTAAAGCTATAGTTCTTTTTGAAAGCAGTTTTGTCTATGCAGTTGCACAGTACTCTAAAGTTTCCAAAAGAAATGAGGCAAAGTATTTGTGAAGTCGAGCTGCCTCAATTCCACAGAGCTGCCATCTGGGCTTGTTTATTTGTATTTCCAACTTTCTGGAACAGAGAGTTTCTCTGTTAGGACAGGGCACTGAGCAAAGGAAGCAAGTGCCTTACAGAATGCTACCCTTTTAAAAAAACTGTATTTTCAAATTTCTAATTAGTTTGGTCAAAAATATCAAATGACTAGCACAGTCTTACAATTTAACACAGTTGGAAAATCTTAGAATTGTCTTAACAGTCTTCTACAACATGATCCAAGTAATATTTTCTACATACTACCTTCTTGTGCTTTTCAAATCTTTTTCAAAACACAAATTGTCATTAAGGCTATAGCTGTTTGTCTTAGAAATCAAACATTTTTCATAAATCCTTATACAAATAAGTATTTGATTTAAACATGAAAGAAGTATATCCATGCAGTTTTCCTAATTTTAGAAAGTACACATCAGGCATGTTACCAAAAAAAGAAGCAAACAAAACAAAAATCTTTTAAAATATAATTAAGAAACAAAGTATTATTGTTAGATTGATTATACAATCTGATATTGAAGAACAGTTTAACAACTCACAAGCCCACACACATAAAAAAACAGTAGTCTCTATTCTTTGAAATATTTAACAAATAAAATAGAAGCAAAAAGTACCTTGTAGAGTAAAATCCAGCAATACATATTCGTAAGCAAACTCTGTCTTTGTTTCCACTTGTGGTCTCTTCAGGGTAGAAAATATTTTTCCGGGGCTGCTATCATCAGGGTCTTCCAGCTTTCTAAGTCCGCACCCCATGGCAAAATCTGTAAGGAATTAAATTGCAGGAAAGGGGAGGGAGAGCAGCAAATTCTGTTGTTTAAGTTGCAAAAAGAAAGTTACAGACCTAACTGCTTTGATTTTGTTTTCAGCGAAGCCACGGATACCCCTAAAGAAAACATTTGGGTCCAAAGTAAGGAGCTGGAGACGTTTTCTGTCCATTTTTCTGTAAAGTCATTGAACCCATGATTGAGCTACAGCTCCAGGAGGCTGATTTTAGAGAAACTAGCAAGCTGCTACAACTTAGCGGAGAATTTCCATGCCACGTCAATTTACAGCCAGCCCCCTACCAGAGTTCTGTCGCTCAGGACACCAACAGTGCTTTGTCTATCCCAGATGGCTGGATGATAAAAGAGGTGTCCAAAAACGGAAGTAAAAAGGCAAAAGTGCAACTTGGATGTAATTATCCACACGTAGAAGATATATTCAGGCACAGTGGTATACAATTCTTTTTTCTAAATTCTCTCTTCTCACTGTCCTGCGCCTACCCTTTTTCCTCCAAGCAACTACAGAGAAAGCAAAAGGAGAGAGAAAGAAAGAGGGAGGGAAGGAGAAAGAGAGAGGGAGGGAGGGAGGGAGAGAGAAGGATTGAAAAAAAATGGATTCTCATCATGGTTGGAAACAAAAATCATTTCCAGAAAGGAAGTCAGCTTTATGAGGAAGCTGTTTCTGGAGTCTAAAAGGAGGAAAATAAAGTGGAAAAAAAAGCACTTTAGCAGTACTTTTGAGGATTTCTTTCCACCTGAAGTTTCTTTTTGCTGGAAAAACATATGCTAATTAAAACTGCAAAGTGTAAAAAATGTATATTAAAATATTTTCATAAAAAGACATTCCTTAATTGCAAAGAAGAGACATGTGGATAATTAGTTTTCCTCAACATTCTTAAATAGTTTAATGCACTCTGCAATTAGAAAGCTTATGTTAGTAACTAATACAATACTAACTAATACAGGTCTCAAAGAATCCTTAATTTAAAAAAAGCCCAGCAAACCAAAACACACAACTTGATTCATTTAGTCTTATGAATTGCCATCTACCTGAGGTCAAGAACAATTTGTTAGGGATCATTTAAAAAAATTTCCAAGCACCTACTGAGAATATAATGGACCAATTGTAACAAGTGTTTATTTATTGCATTTTATCATTCATAGGTCAGGTAGTATGATGCACTCATCAAAACCATGAGCCCTAGAATCAGACTGCCTGGGTTCAAATCCTGCTTCTAAGGCCTACTGGAGATGTGATCTTGAATAAGTTGCTTGACCTCTTCAAGTTTCAATTTCCTTCTCCTGTAAAATGGAGTTAATAATAGAACTTACTTCATAAGCTTTTTATAAAGGCTGAATGAGATAATCTTATCTTCTATCTTAACACTGTATCTGACTAATAGCAGAAAATACATTTGTTCATGTGTGTAAATTATAAAGCAAGGTTGGGGAGTAGTAATAGGAAGGAAGTGATTCTGCCACTACTTCCACTATTTATAAAATAAACCCTGCTTATGTTTGAGATTCTAGAGAACATAAGCCTGAAAAAAATTTTCAATTACGTTGAAGAGTACACGTGAAAATTCTCAAAGGGGGAGAGATTTAGTGTGTAGATCACTATTCCCTTTTGTCTTTTCCTACTGCCTCCTTGCCTTTAAATGTTTTTACCTCTCAGAAGTGTTTTAACAGAGACAGATTCTGCAGACTTTCAAGTTCCAGGATGAGCATGCATTTGGCTAAAAAGAACGACTCTGACACAGTGTAATCATTTCACTGTTCACCGTGCTTTCACGCCTGTCATTTTTCATGTTCTCTTTTGTACGAGGAGCTGTGATGCCCTATGTAGCAGAAATACTTTTTTTTAGAATCGGAGTCTCACTCTGTCGCTCAGGTTGGCGTGCAGTGAATGGATCACGACCACTGCAGCCTCGATCTGCTGATTTTGGGCAATCCTTTCCTAAGTTTTTCCTAAACTGGAACTACAGGCGTGCACCACCACACTAGGGTACTTTTTAAAATTTATTGTAGAGATGAGGTCTCGCCATGTTGCCCAGGCTGGTCTTGAGCCCCTGGGCATAGGCAGTTCTCTTGCCTCAGCCTCCCAGAGTGCTGGGATTACAGGCATGAGCCATCGTGCCTAGTAGAAATGGAATCTTTGAAGGTCACTAGTACTTACTGCGGTGACTAGAAGATTATTAGGTACCCATTATATTTATTAAGTGCTTGCTGAGTTCCAGGCACTGGTACCCAAGATGATTAAACATGGCATCTGCCCTAAAGAAATCTATGATTAAGTGAGTATGACCGACTTCTAAACATATAATTTCAATATAATTTGGCAGAGGCTGAGATAGAAGGATGCACAGAATGCTATAGATACCCAATAAGGGGCCTCTACCTCAGCCTGGAGGATGATGAGTAAGATAAAGAAAGGTGGGGAGCATGTGCCAGGAGGAGGGAAAAGCATGCACAGAGTCGTGGGACCATGAAGCAGCAGGGCATGACTAAGGAACATGAAGCAATTGACAAGCACTAGAACATAAAGTGTGGGAGAAGACTGAGCTGTGAGGGAGGTAGAGGTTAAGCTGTAATGGGCTTTGTGTGTCATCAGAGGGAATCTGGGCTTGACTTTGCAGGCAACAAAGGAGAGTCAAATAATCAAATGGAATAATCAAGGGAGGAGTTGGAAGCAGGCAAGTAACATCAGATTGATCGCTAAGGCTGCTTTGAGGAAGATGGTTTTAATTGGAGCAAGGATGGAGGGAGGCCAGTCCAGTTGAGAACTGATGACTGTCTGAATGCATGAGGTGCATAAGTAGGTCCTTAAGGAATTTCTTTTACCTTTGGAAAATGAAACTACAATTTCTTCAGCTCATAATTGAGCACTCACACAGGCAATTTTCTCTCCAAATAAAACAAAATTTTATTTCACCCTTAATGATATTTCAAAAACACATTTTCATTGATCAATAAAACACACATTCTTGGTGTTTTAACAATTATATGGGAATTTACTGTATTAAATACAATGCTTAACAACTAACATTCTGGTTATTTTCACATTTTTACTCTGAAGATTTTTGTAAAGGTTTATTTTCCCCACCTTTGGATTACTTCCTAAATGCTTTGATTCTACTTTATAAATGATCAAATAGTTCACATATAAGGAAATCTGTTAGAAAGTAATAAGCATAGGAAATACCTTCTAACGACTAGATAATTCATTTATATTACTTATATAAATATGTGGTTGGTCATAAACGTGTTTAAGGTGTTAACCTTATATATTTCAAGCTTTTGTCAGTTATTGTATATTTTTTGCTATACTTTTTTTTTTTTTTTTTAATTAGGGTCTCACTCTATTGCCCAGGCTGGAGTACAGTGGCCTGATCATGGCCCACCACAGCCTTGACCTCCTGGGTTCTTCCCACCTCAGTCCCCTGAGTAGCTGGGACTACAAGCATGTGCCACTACATCCAACTAATATTTTTGATTTTTTTGTAGAGTCAAAGTCTCACTAGTCTTGAAGGCTAGTCTTGAACTCCTGACCTCAAGCAATCCTCAGCTTCAAGCTCCCAAAGTTCTGGGACTCCAGGTTTGAGCCACCGCACCCAGCATCACCATCCTTCTTTCTTTTTGAGTTGGGGGGTTTTGCTCTGTCGCCCAGGTTGTAGAGCAATGGCACAATCATGGCTCACTATAGCTTTGGCCTCCTGGAAAGATCTCAGGAAGCTTACAATCATGGCAGAGGCGAAGGAGAAGGTGGCATGTCACACGGTGAGAGCAGAAGCAGCAGAGAGAGGAGGAGGTACCAGGTTCTTTTAAGTGCCAGCCAACTTTTGTGTGAACTAACAGAGCAAGAACTCACTTATTACCAAGGGCAGGGCAGCAAGCCATTCGTGAAGGATCTATGTTCATGACCCAAACATCTTCCACCAGGCTCCACCTCCAACACTGGGGATCACATTTGAACATGAGATTTGGAGGGGACAAAATATTCAAACGATATCATCCACCTATTCACTCCTCCTTTACTTCTTCTTCTTCTTCTTTTTTTTTTTTTTTTTGAGTTGGAGTCTCACTCTGTCGCCCAGACTGGAGTGCAGTGGCTGCTCCCAGCCACCGCAGCCTCGACCTGCTGGGCTCAGGCGATTCTTCCGCCTCAGCCTTCCAAGTAGCTGGAACTATAGGCGCGCGCTATCACGCCCGGCTGATTTTTTGATTTATTGTAGAGATGAGGTCTCATCAAGTTGCCCAGGAGAGTCTCGAACCCGTGGGCTCAGGCAATCCACTCACCTCAGCCTCCCGAAGAGCGGGATTACAGGCTGAGCCACCGAACCCGGCTTACTTCTTTAACTCGAATCCATCTGGCAATTATAAAAGCTATACTCTGGCTTGAAGTCAGTTCTCTTCCAGGCTGATATCTAACTGTCACAATCACATTTGTTTCCTTTTTTTTTTTCAAAAATTATTTTAGATTTAGGTGGTACAAGTGTATGTTTGTTACATGGACATATTGCATAGTGGTGGGGATTGGGCTTCAGGTGACCCATTCCCCAGATAGTGAACATTATATCCAATAGGTAACCTCTGAACCCTAACTCCCTCCCTTCTCCTGCTTTTTTAGTGTCTCCAGTGTCTATTGTTTCCATCTTTGTGGCCATTTAGTTCCTGCATGTAAGTGTGACCATGAGTTATTTGGTTTTGTTTCTGAGTTATTTCACTTAGGATGATGTTCTCCAGTTCCATCCATGTTGCTGCAAAGGACATTATTTTATTCTTTTTAAAGGCTGGGTAGTATTTCATGGTGTATATGTACCACATTTTCTTTATACAGTCAATCATTGGTGGGCACTTAGGGGTTCCGTGATTTTGCTGTTGTTAATAGTGCTGCAGTGAACATATGAGTACAGGTATCTTTTTTATATAATAATTTCTTTTCCTTTGGGTAGATCTCTAGTAGTGGGATTGCTGGGTTGAATGATAATTCTATTTTCAGTTCTTTGAGAAATCTCCATATTGTTCTCCATAGAGATTGGACTAGTTTACAATCCCACCAATGGTGTATGAGCATTCTCTTTTCTCTGCAACCACACCAATGGTTATTGTTCTTTGAATTTTTAATAATAGTCATTATGATTGGTGTTAAGATGGTATCTCATTGCGGTTTTAATTTGCCTATCTCTAATGATCAGTGATGCTGAGCATTTTAAAAATGTTTGTTAGTTGCTTATGTGTCTTCTTTTGAGAATTCATGTCCTTCACACCCTTTTTGGTGAGGTTATTTTTTCATGTTGAGTTGAGTTCCTTATTGATTCTGGATATTAGTCCTTAGTCTGAGGACTTTATAATTTAGAAATATTTTCTGTTCACTCTTTTGATTATATCTCTTGTTGTACACATGCTTTTTAGTTTAATTAAGTCCCATCTATTTTTGTTTTTGTTGTAATTGCTTTTGGGGTCTTCATCATAAATTCTTTGCTTAGGTCAATGTCCAGGAGAGTTTTTCCTAGGTTTTCTTCTAGGACTTTTACAGTTTTAGGTCTTACACTTAAGTCTTTAATCCATCTTGAATTATATGGTAGAGGTAG